TCATTCCATAAAATGCTACACCATTAAGTCTAAAAGTGTAAAGGACTTCAAAAACAAGAAAAGTCTGAGAAACTGTCACAAACAACAGATGCCTAAATAGACATGACTACTAAAGGCAATGTGTATCTGGATAGGATCCAGGAACAGAAAAAGAACATTAGGGAAAAACTGAGGAAACCTACGTAAAGTATGATATTTAATTAATCATAACACATTAATATTGGTACATTAATTAAGACATATATATCACACTAATCTAAGGCAATAATAGGGGACTGGTTATGGGGTATATAAAAACTCCCTGTACTATCTTTATATTTCTGTGTTTAAAACCTAAGTAATTCTAAAAATCTAAAATAAAAAATTATTTTTAAAAAAGGACATAAAAAATAATAAGGCTAGCCTCAGAAATAGGGAAAGGAAGGAAACAGGCAAATAATACAGTTTTAAAGGAATACAAACAGTCTCACCAGCACAATATTTTTAGGCTATCACCATCATTCTAACATTGAGCTTCGTTTATTTGAGAACTTGTGTCTTGAAGATTCTTCTGACCTCAAGAATCCTGTTTCTAAATATAGAAAGTCTAGCATCTAGAGACTCTGTATAGAATAGTAATTGATAGAGAGACTTGGGAGCTGTATTACTTCAGCTCAAAAATTTCAGCTCCTAGCACATACTAGCTGCAAATTCTTGGGCAGTATGCTTAACTTCTCTGTGCCTCAGCTTTCTCATCTATAAAAGGAATACTAATAGTAATAATAAAACCACTACCCCACCCCACAGGCATGCTGTGAGGATGAAGTAAATGAGTAGATGTAAAGCACTAGAACAGAACCTGGCACATAGGTGCTAGTTAAGTGCTAACTATTTAACCAATTCATTCATTCAACAAAAATGCATCAACACAGGAAGAGCTCAAGGAAACAGTGTAATTCAGCTTGGAACCGGTAAATGAAAACTAAGATTTATAGATACCAATGGAATCAAAACTGCCATCTCAGCTCACTTAGTCAAATGTAGGTAGGCTTATAGAAAAGGAAAACTAAAATTCTTCATGTCTATTTTAATTTTTTCATCCTCAAATCTATGAAGTTAATATTGGCAGACTGCATATCGTAACATCAATTTTAAGGTCTTCTGAGCGAAAATAACCTGTTTCCACAGGGCTCCTTCACTGTTTCCACACACCTACACATTTCTGCCTGCAGAGAAACAGACAAGGGTTTTCAAACTTCAACCTGCAGAAATTCTTCTGCCAGCATGGAACAACAGGTCCCACAGCCTCTCCCACTCCCCCTGCAGAGAAGCACCTTGACCAAAAGAAAAGCATTGATAGTGATGGCTATAGGGCCCCGTTCCAAGTTTTTATTTATTAATATGTCCCAAAATAGCAACAAAGTAAGGTAAACCAAGTAGTCCAGCCTTAACAAATGGTTTCCTTTTCTTTTGAAAAAGGAAGGAAGTGATACTTTATTTGGTATACAACCCCCAAATGTTTTCTCAAGTAACAGGAAGGAGGAAATTTTTAAGAAGTGTGTGTGTGTGTGTGTGTGTGTGTGTGTGTGTGTGTGTGTTTGTGTGTTTTGGGGATGGGGGACTAAAATAGAGTATTAACAAAAAATGTTACCAAAAAAAGTAGGAATTTTCTGGCTTTGATAAAAGATACTGTAGACAAGTAAAGACAGAATCCATGTACTGAAACTTTTGTCCATTATGACACAATATTAGGCTATTATATAAATCCAGGATATTAATCCCAACTTCCTAAGTAAAAATGAACACTGTAAAAATTTCTAAATACTAAATTTCTATAGAGAACAACAGTCCTTAAATACTTGACAAATAGGGTAGGAAATGTGTAGGTTTAATATTTTTTGCCATGCATATCCTATTAAATTACCTGCTTTGTGTTAATGTGAAACTATTTTTCACATTTACATTTTTTCATGAATAAACAGTTTCAATAATTTTCAACTTAAGAATAAGGACAAAGTGGTTCACAAGTAATTATTAAAAAACAAAATAATAGTGCAACAGCCTGACTGAAGACTATGATCTGAGTTTCATTATTTATGGAATACAAATTCACAAGAGTTTCTGTATATTCACTGCATAGTTCTTGAAACAACATTTAATTGCATTAAACCGAGAGAAGGAGAAACAGAAAGTAATTAAAGCAGTTTAAACTAGATCTGTAAAATTAATTTTATTAAACAGTGCAGCTGCATTTAAAATATATTTTTATACTTGCAATACCCGATGATCACTTAACTAGAATTAAACATAACTTATCATTCCAATTTAAAGTTAATGATTACCTGATATACAGTAGATAGATTACATAAATCCACAAGGAATGAATACATTAGAAAAAAGATAACAGTGGAAAAATACTAGAAGGGGGAGTAATGCTAGTTGAAGAAAGTCATTTGTTTCTAAAACTAGGGAGGAATGATCACAGTAGACAGCTAAATTACACAAGACTCCAAGTGGGTATTCAAGTATCTAAAAAAAAAGTAGGTTCGATAACAGAGATGTACAATTGCCTTCCTAAAGCTTTTAGCTATTTGATGAGTCAAATATTCATCATTTCAAAACATACTTTTCAACTTAAAAATCAGAAAAGGTGGTTGACCTCCAAATTAAACTGTATTTCCTTCTGTGACTTCACTACCATTTTGTGATAAGAGCAGGAAAAGGAGAACAACATTAAGAAATAGAATGAAGGTCAAACCAGAGTTCATGTAATTTACATATATACAAGTTCTTTCTACTTCACAACACTTTTAATTTACTAACTTTTATCCACACTAGCTTAGTAAGATCCCATAAAAATGGCATTTCAACTCTACTGCTAACAGAGGATATTAGAGGTTGTGAGCTGTGATCTTACATATGCGCTTTGCACTGTTAAGGATTCTTTTTTATGAAAAATCAACATCATTGATAGGATTTAACATAATAACCTTGTAAGCTTGAATAGGTGTAAATGAATGAGTCTTTAAAAGGCTGGTGAGGGGCGCCTGGGTGGCTTAGTCGGTTAAGCGTCCGACTTTTGCTTAGGTCATGTTCTCGTGGTTCGTGGGTTCGAGCCCTGCGTCGGGCTCTGTGCTGACTGCCAGCTCGGAGCCTGGAGCCTGTTTCAGTCTGTGACTCCCTCTCTCTCTGACCCTCCCCTGCTCACGCTGTCTCTCTTTCACTCTCCCAGAAATAAATAAAACATTTAAATAAAATAAAATAAAATAAAATAAAATAAAATAAAATAAAAGGCTGGTGAAAAGAGAGAATTATGATGGACACAGAAGTGGAGTCCTTTTTAAGGTGTTGAGGAAATATTAAATAGTTCTTTTAAATGCATTAAGAAATAAGAACGCTGTTGACACAGTGCTGAAGTCACTCAACATGTGACAAGAATTATGTAACTGTAAATAGTAAGAGATGAGGAAACACAGATGGCGTAATGAAAAATTCTTGCTGGTGGAAGGTTCATCATGAATTCCACACAATCCTTAGTCAAATGTTAACTGAGGAGAAGACAGGAATTTAATGAAGAATATAAAAGTTAAGAAGGCTTAAGGTGCTGATCAAATGTTTATTTCAATCCATGAACAATTCCATAGATTCAAAGCCCATCTAAACATCTCTATAATGTCTCTATGACATCAAAATGAAGAACAAGGTAGCAATGACAACAATCAGCAGGTGATGAGATATCCCCTCTGAATTACTGGTGGAGTTTATCAAGATGGTGTTACCTGAAATAATGTAATCTCTCTAGACATAAAACTCGTCTGTTTAAAAAGTTAGAGACAAACATACACATTCATACACGTATTACACATTTATTTTATACATATTAGATAAAATGGTTATGCCTAGTTTTGAGGTTTTCAAGTTTATATTCCTGTTTGATGAAAACATACTCAGGGACTAAAAACATGAGCCTCTGTCAGTCACTTTGGATACTCAAATTTATTAATTTGTGAAGACACTTTTGGAATTCATCCTGTTTCAAAATAGAAATTTCTGTTGTTTCCCATATGTCTATGTACTACCCCTTCATTTATACTGTTGAAGTTCTTCATAGGCAATGACTTTGTTTCTATATAAACAAATGCCTATAGAATAAAGAGTACAAACTAAAAACTTAGGTAATTATAAACTAGCATAAACCAAGAAACCCTATATCAAACCTTCTGCACAGCATTCATGTTACACTGTAATTCATTTTTTTTCCTATAGAAGAGAATGTGGAGATAGGCCATTGGTCAAGTCTATATGTAACTAAAGCTAAGACAGTTAACTGGGAGAATCTTTTATATTTCCGCTTATACTTTTCAAAAATGCAATACATTTTCTTCATTACTAATATATCTTTAAAAAGCTTAGGTTTTGCTGTTTCTCTTAAAGACCTCATGAAAACAGTGACACATTCTCAAACTGAATAAAAATTAGAACTTTGGTGATAATAAAATACTACTTTTTAAAGTTTTTATTTTGTGTGTGTGTATGTGAGAGAGAGAGAGAGAGACAGAGACAGAGAGAGGGAGAGAGACAGAGACAGAGAGAGGGAGAGAGACAGAGAAAGAGAGCAGGGAACAGGCATAGAGAGAGGGAGAGTGAGAATCCCAAGCAGGCTCCATGCTGTTAACCCAGAACCCGATGAGGGGCTCAAACTCACAAACCGTGAGGTCATGACCTTAGCCAAAATTGAGTTGGACACTAACTGACCGAGCCACCCAAGAGCTCCTTGGGGTTGAATTTTAAGCACACTCATACTTTCTCTGCCACCATATTGTAATACTAATGTTTCAAGTGTGCACGCCCACATACACACACATACACAACACATTCATTCTCATTCTTTATCTGTCCCCTCTCCTCTTTATAGGTAGACTTAGGGTCTTAAGGAAAGATGAGAGCACATGGCAAATAGTAGTCATTAAAAATTGGTTGTGGAATTTTATAAAAGACCTAAAAATCAGGAAAATACTTACTTCATCAGCTACCATACACCTGGAAAAAATAAAAATAAAACCAAGTTAATATCTCCATTATCAAAGACAACCATTTTAAAAGTTTTGATTAAGTAGTCTGCCACAAAACAGTTTTGAAGTACTTACAAATTTTAAAGTACTAAGCCAGAGAGAGGTGTTTATAAGACTCTGCAGCTGCCAATGGCATATGGTTATGTGGGAGGATTAGAGATTCAGAAATGTTGTTCCCCACTGCCCACCCATGGAGGCAGCTATAATGACCCTTCAAAAATGAGAACAAAATGGTAAGTGATTGTACCGACGACTTCCCTTCTTACCAATCAATCTTAAAATTGGTCTTCCCTAGAGATTAGAAGAATGCTGTATAAAAGTACAAAAAAAGAAATCTCAACCACATATTAGTATGTTATACCTATGATTTTATATGTTGTATTATATATGCTCGGCCTATTTTCAAGCTGAATTTTGGTTTCTACTACTATTTGGCTAAAGTTTTTCTATTCTTTTTTGTTCACCTATCAAAGTAAATTCTATATGCTGAAAATTAAGGATGGGGGCATAAGCTAAGATCTTAAGTAGAAGAAAAGGCAAAAAGTAGGTGTGGTCAGGATCATGAGGGGTTCCTCAGAGACAGAGAGTGCATCCTATGATGAAAAGCCAATTTCTTACCTGAAAGGATTTCCAGGAAACCTAAAAAACACTAGAGTGTTCTAATTAGAAGGAATAAAGTCCCTATTTCTATTCTTTTCTTCCTTTATTCCCAATGATCTTAACACTATGCAATTTTATGAGATTTCTTTCCCCTTAAAATACAAATTAGGAATTTGGTAATGAATATACTGTCAAAGAATAAGTCACAGGCAAAACAGAATTTTGATCATAGAAAAAAAGTCAGATTACATAATAAGCATTTTTAGAGAAAGATTAAATATAAATACTTGAACTGAAATTTAAAACATACTCAAAAGTAAAAAGTTTATTACATGTTTTGCGAACAAGTCATAGAAAACTAAATAACAATAACTTAAAAAACATGATTTATTTCCAGAAAGATTCACATGTACACCTACTTTTTCATTTTTTTTTTTTTTATATTTTTATTTATTTCTAGGAGAGAGAGAGAGACAGCGTGAGCAGGGGAGGCTGAGAGAGAGAGGGAGTCACAGACTGAAACAGGCTCCAGGCTCTGAGCTGGTAGTCAGCACAGAGCCCGACGCGGGGCTCGAACCCACAAACCACGAGATCATGACCTAAGCAAAGCCAGACGCTTAACCGACTAAGCCACCCAGGCGCCCCCTACTTTTTCATTTTAAAATGAAACTTGGGGCTCCTGGTTGGCTCAGTCAGTTGGGTGTCTGACGTAGGCTCAGGTCATGACGTCGCCATTCCTGAGTTCGAGCCCCATGTCAGGCTCTGGGCTGACAGCTCAGAGCCTAGAGCCTGCTTCAGATTCTGTATCTCCCTCTCTCTCTGTTCCTCCCCCACTCACGCTCTGTCTCTCTCTGTTTCTCTGTCTCTCTCAAAAATAAACATTAAAAAAAAGCTAAAATGAAACTCAAATTTGGTAAAGATGTCACTTGAAGTATATATTATTTATGAAGTGTCTACTACCTACCTAGTAAGTGCTAGGGATATAGTAATGAATTATGAAGTCCTCACTTCAAAGAAGGTGACTGGAAGAAGACAATAAAATAAACATATGGCTTAAGTGGTGAGAGGTGCTAGGGAAAAAAATGAAACAGGGTAAGGAGGAATAGGCATGTAGGAAAGGATCTATTGAATACAATGGTAGGGAACAGTCTCTATTACAAGGCAGTACAAACATTTAAGAAAGACAAATTTAACAAGTAAGGGAATCATAAGAAAATTTGGAAGTGATCAGCTTGTACTCAAACAAAGTGATTAGCAAGTACACGGGCTCTGAGATCAGATGATTATAACGTAATTAAGAAGGAGGAATAAGAAAGGCACTCTGCCTAACGTGCACTAAATTAGGAAAATAGTAGAATATAAGGTTGAAAGGCGGCTGGGAAAGCCTTCTGCCATGGAGAACCTCCTGAACAACTGCATGGGGCTTGGATTTTCTTAGAATCCTTTAGAGGGAAGCACTATTTTGCCTTTTAAAAAGATTACTCTGGCTTATAGAGAATAAATTGTAGAGGGCAAGAACAGAAGAAGGGAGAGCAGTCAGGAGGCAACAATAGACCAGGAAGGACAAAATAATGCATAGATGAGTGGTAGAGGTAGAAGTGGTGAGGAGTTTGGTTCATTTTGAAAGTACAGCCAATAGGATGTGTGGATTAATTGGGATGGGGATGTAAAAATAAGAGAGAGAAGTCAAGAATAAATCTTAAGATACTGACATGAGAATTAACTGTAAAAAATGGTTCCAATGCCATTCACCGAGGTAAGAATGGCTTGGGAGAATTAGGTTTGACAATGACAATCAAGTGATCAGTTTGGACATGCAACCTTTGTGATATACATTAGATTGCCAAGTCAAACTGTTGAGTAGGTAACTGGATATGTGCATCAGGACGGTAAGGGGCAGGAAATACAATAAATTTGAGAGTCATCAGAATGTAAATGGCATTGGAATTAGTGAGGATCCAAAGTATTCTGAAATATGACAACTTGACTGTGGCCTGTTCTTCCCTATGCTCATCTCCAACTTCCTGAACTTTCTAAAGTTAAGCAGTTGCTGAGACATCTTAAGGCCCTAGAGGAGTAACATCAGATCAAACTGGTTTGCAGTTACATTGTCCTGTTGGTGGCTAACTGAAAAGCGACATCACTGAAATAACTTAGCTTCTAGGTGTCAGAGGACCCCAATGGTAAGTTTACCTCCAATCTCTTGGAATATGCTGTATTTTCCTATTGTGAGACAGATGAGTGTTCCCTATTTTGGAACTAGGGCAGTTGAGTACATTAGACAGCTTCAGGCTTCCTTTAGGTATCCCTAGAAGGCTAACTATCCTTAAACTTTAGTCACTGTATCTATTCTGACTGCTAGGATTCCTATTGTTAAGGACAGTTTAGCAAGCAGACATGATTTCCAATAAGACATCACAGGAAAACAACTGATAACGTGAAAGGCCCAATCACTTGAAAGAACAGAGTAAGCTTGAATAAACAGAACTTGTATCTACTGAAAGAGGAAGTGCCAGGGCGCCTGGGTGGCTCAGTCGGTTAAGCGTCCGACTCCAGCTCAAGTCATGATCTCATGGTTCGTGGGTTTGAGTCCCGCGTCAGGCTCAGCTAGCTCAGAGCCTGGAGACTGTTTCGGATTCTGTGTCTCCTTCTCTCTCTGACCCTCCCCTGCTCACACTGTCTCTCTCTCTCTCTCTCAGAAATAAATAAAATCATTAAAAATTTTTTGAAAGAGGAAGTGACAGAAAAGATAAACACTTGTGCAACAAATATTAGAGCACTTAAATAAATTCTAATGTATCACATACATACACCTTAAAGCTTAAAATCACAATTTTCAAACTAAAATGAGCACATGAATTTAAAAAAATCATTACTGACACCTAATTAAATAGACTGGAAGATGAAGGGGAAGGATTATCTCAAAACACAAAGCAAAGAGTTAAGTAAATGTACAGGCACAGAAAAGAAAAAAAATACTTGAAGGATAAATCCAGAAAAATGTGAAAAATGGATGTTCAAAAGTAGAAAAGACATAATGTGAAGCAGAAGCAACAATTATGTAATTAATAAAAGAAAATTTACTCAGGTTGATAAAACACCTCTAATGGATAATTGGAAAGGGTATAACTAAGTTTCAGGTTGGATCAAAAAGACAAATATCTACTCATATCCTTATAAAATGCAGTAATCTAAAAAGAAAACCCTTGTAAGTGTTCAGACAGAAAGAATAATTATTCATAAATGGAAAAGCCAGGACTGGCACTGGACTTATCAACACTAGAAGCTAAAGAACCATGGAAGAGGGTCCAGACTACTTGAACAGAAAGGAGAACTCATGCATCTTATATCTAACCAATATACCCATTATTTGTAAGGGATGGCAAAAAGATATTTGATACCAACCAGTATCTCCAAGATTACAAAACACAAGTAAACCCTAGGAGAAAAATACTTAAGAAAACAATCAAACAATAAACACACCTCAACACAGATTGAAGACCAGAGAAGATGAAAATGAAATCTGGTAAGCAATGATGCTTGAAGTGCGTGAATTTAATGGGTGATGTGTATTCTACACGGCGACTCCAAAAATAGAAAAGACACATTCTGAAAAAGTGTAAGTGAAAAATTAAAGAGAGGCAACAAGGAAGAAGGGTGCTAAGAAGTATTCTAAAGCAGAATACCAAACAGATGACATTTAAAATCAGAAGACTAAGTGAAATCACCTAGGGACTAAGAATATAGAGAGGAGAGAACTATGGCTGACCCCTGGAGCACTCCGACATATAGGGGTACAAAGAGAAGGATAGAGAAAGAGAACTGAGAAGGAGTGTCTAGTAATGTAAAATAGATACAAGAGGAATATGGTACCCTAGAAGGCCAATAAAGAAATTGTCTCAAGAAGGAAGGAATAAACAACTATAGTAAATGCTACTAAAAAAAAGTCTAATAAAATGAGGTCTGACAATTGACCGTTTGATATGCCAAGAGATCCCTAATTCGACAAGAGCAACTCTGATAAAATGGCAGGAGACAAAAGCCTTCCATTCCAAGAGAGAATGGAAGGAGAGGAAGAGGGAAAAGTAAATAAAGATTACTATCTCAAGGAATTATCCTGTAGAGGGGAACAGAGAAAAATGATAGTAGCTGGCAAGAAAACTAAGATCCATAGGTTTTGTTGTTGTTGTTTTTTTAAAGATAGAATAGTACAAATAACCCAATAAATATCTTACTGATCCTATGAGTAATATCTAGCAGGCAGGTAGAAGTATAGATGAGGAACTTGAAAATCAGGTCAAGAGACTAAGTAAAAATGAGAAAGGGAGTGCTTGGGTGGCTCAGTCAGTTAAACATCTTCCCCACCTT